ATGAGTGATGTTGAACATTTTTTCATATATTTGTTTGCTGCTTTTACTTCTTTGAGAAATGTCTGTTCATTTCAGATGCCCATTTTTGAATTGGGTCTTTCAATTTGGGGGGTCTGATTTTTTTCAGTTCTTTATAGATTCTAGATAGTAGTCCTTTGTCTGTGGTACAGTTGCTGAAATTTTTTTCCCACATTGTAGGTTGTCTCTTAGCCCTGTTGGTGATTTCTCTTGCAGTGCAGAAGCTTTTTAATAAGATAAGATCCCAGTTATTGATTCTTTGTGCAAGCATCAAGCAGCATCAAGCAGCCACTCTAACCAGCCTACTGTGCTTTCCAAGGCCTTGCTTCTGTTTCCTCCTGGCTTACTTCCCATCAGTTCCATTCAGTAATGGCCGCTATACATCCCCTAGTAGATCAGTTACTTCTTGTCCAGTCTTATTTAGGAAAATCCAGCCTTCAGGAGAAGGGCTTTACCTTCTCCTGATCATCTGATTTTCTTCAGCTTTACTTTCCCCAGGCAATTTTACATGTTAAATTCTCATGTGATTTTGAATAGGTCTGTCCACAAAGTTGCTGGTTTCTCTTCATTGTATAGATTCAGAACTTTGTGTATAAGATACCTTCTGATCATTTCTGATATTGTTTCTCTCAGCATGTACAGTCTTTGCCAACAGAAAAAATTACCAAGAAACCTATTCCAGATGAGCACCTCATTCTGAAGACCACATTTGAGGATCTTATCCAGCGCTGCCTTTCTTCAGCCACAGATCCTGTACGTATTTTTTCTCATATTTTGCTTAATCAAAATAATTCTTCCTGGAGCTCTTCTATAATATTGCTTGAAGTCCTACAAGATATGGTTGTTAAAAAACATTGTACAAAACTAACAAAGCTAGCAACACGTATAGAAATATAGTTGTTTCTTATATATAAACATACTTAATCCTAATAGTAACTCCAGAATAGGTAGATTTGTCCTTTTTATTTTACACATGAGTAATTTAAGGCAAAAAAACAGTTAAGTCTTCTCACCTGAGGTCAGAGTCTACATTTCAGCCCGGACAGTCTGGCTCCAGATTGCTACAGGCCTTCTGTTTGGCACATGAATAAAATATAACAGTAGTCTGCAGAAAAGTCTAGTTTGGGGATTCTTTCTAGATTTACAGTTGAAGCTTTTGAAACTAGATAGATCATCTTTAACTTTGCAAAGATCTTAAAGTTAGTTTAATATTATAGATACTGAAGTCTTATTCATAGTTAAAGCAACTGATTTGTGTTTACTCAGAGGATGCCAGTATATTGGCAGTGACAAAAAGTCCACAAAGGCAATCTTGTTTTAAATGAAACTTCATTTTCTGCCAACAAATACTGAACGTGTGTGTGTGTGTGTGTGTGTGTATATATATATATATATATTTTTTTTTTTGTACTGGGGATCAAGCTCAGGACCTTGCGCTTGCAAGGCAGGCGGCGAAACCACTGAGCTAAATCCCCAGCCCCTGAATATATTTATTTTAAGTCATTGGCCACTTGTGTACTTGGAAAAGACAGCTTCTGGAATTTATTATTTTGTCTGCCACTGAATTTTTTTTTTTCATTAAGTTTATTGGTACATTTTAGATTTACAATATGATGACATTCATCATTGGGAATTTGTACCTTTACATGATGTATCTTGGTTATTTTTTCCCCCTTCCCCTGCCCTCCCTTCAACCCCTCCATCCCTCCCTATTTACAAAGACTTTGTTTCCATTTTTTCATTTTCTCATATTAATTCCATTCCCTTCTTTCGTTTCCCCTACCCCTCCTACTTCCCCCTCCCCTTTGCCCCTTTTCTTCCTGTTTCACATTACCTGTTATACATTTTGATTCTTATTTACACTTTCAGTTTCTCACACCAGAGAAACTATGCCATTGAGTATTAATATGTATAGCCTTCTGCTGGCATTGGGAAAAGCAGTTCTTTTTACTGAAAGTGTCAAGAAAGCAAGGGGTTGATAGAAACTTTAGCGCCGGCCTTCTGGGATAGATAAGGCTGGAAACGGGAGAGCAGATGAATTGATAAGCAGATATGCCCTGTCCCCTAAGTGAATTGGTTATAGTCATTTGAAAATGGAGGCATCCTAATAATGTGCCAAAACTCTAATCCTCCCTCAGGCACAAGGTACTATAGGGAGGTTCAGAGGCCCAGTACGATCAATTTTAGTTGCATTTCACCTCCTCTGGGTCATCATCTCGTCTCCCTTTGGGTTGGGTACCCAGGAGCCCAGGGCAGACTGGAACTATAGAAAACAAGCAGTTCCTGTAATAGTTGGGGGAGAAATTCTACTATCCTGCCCCACTGTTCCGTTACCTTGGGGTAAGGCTTCCATTTGGAGCTGTGCTGTAGGGATTCCCTTCTGCAAAAGTCCATGTTAATCAGTAGTTGGAATAATTTTCATACCATAATGTTACTCTTATTTTCATTTTAGTTGTGTCCAAACAACACAAAGTGATTTTGCAGCACAACCTAGCATGTGATATTATGCTTGGTAGCCTCTCCTCTGTCTACTCCAGACCCACTGGCATTCATTCCTCAGATTCTCCCACAGCATGTCAGCATCAGGGACTCTGTATTTCTCCTTCTGCCCAGAAGCCTTCCCACATGTCTGCCTTTGCTCACTCCCACACGTGGAGACTGCTGCTCAAATGTCCATTAGCCATCAGGCCTTCCTTCTCTCAACCCTGTTGGCCCCTAGCCTCGTTAATGTGTCTTCATGGCACTTACACCATCTGACACACAATGTACTGTCTGTTTTGTGTCTTTTCACACAATAGAATATGTGCTCCATGATACATAAGACTCCCCAGCACAGCATGTCATCAGGATTCAATAAATATTAAAAAACAGCATTACTGCCAGGGATTTAGCTTAAAAAAAAAAATACCATCTTAAAAAACAGCATTCCTATTTTGTAATGAAGATCATTAAGTTAATCACATTGTACTTTGTAAAATGATATTTTTAGTCATAAAATAGTTTCTCTTGCTATATTTATAGTAGTGGGATAGGAAAGAAAAAAAATTCCTTTACTACAGTAATTTTAAGTTACCAAAATATAGTTGCCTTTTCCTTGCTTGGTGCTATAAAAGCACAAAAAGAGGCAGGATCGAGCATACCAAGTGTGACCAAGTGTACAAATAGTATTTTTGAACAGTTAAACAAGGTTCCCCAGTTCCCCCCCATTGGCCTCCTCTAACCCATAATCCTCTATAACTGGTCTTTCCTGTGGGACCTTGACTCACGACTGCCTCCAGAGGCCTGTGACTGTACTGCAGTTTCACACACACCTCGTAGTTTGCAGGCCACAAGAAGTCCAGTCAGTACCCTGTTCTGCACACTGGAAGGAAGTTACATCCTCTCCGCACCCTACCACCCTGCCCTTGATAGATTACTGATGCCCATTCTAAGCATTTCTTGGTCCTAGTTGTCTCCATTTCTTCTGTTTTATTTTTTATTTTTACTTTTTTTTTGGTACTGGGGATCGAACTCAGGACCTTGCATTTTTGAGGCAGGCCCAGTGCCACTGAGCAAGATCCCTGGCCTTCCATTTCTTTGATAAAAAGAAGCTGTTCAGTGTCTTGAATATAAGGTTTAGTGAAGTGAGATAGGACAAGTTCTGTGAATAAAATGTTCCAATATAACATCTGTTTTTCCTCCTGCAGCAAACCAAGAGGAAGCTAGATGATGCCAGCAAACGCTTGGAGTTTCTATATGATAAACTTAGAGAACAGACAGTAAGTCCGGGGGGAAGAGAAGGATTTATGACAACCAGTTATTCCTAGTTGCTAGTAAAATAAGCATCTCATTAGCACTCTTATTCAGTCATTTTGGTGGCAAAATTGTTACTGTTACAGAATGGGCCTTCCTCTGACTGCTCATCTGAATCCCGAATTTTGTTCATTGAGGTTGAGAGAATAGTCACAAGAGAGATTTTAACCCTTTTCATAACAAAGACTAGAAAACAAACTCTCTTGTATTGGCCCTAAGGTAACTGACCTTTTGTTGTCCAATTTAAGGCCCGTGTATTGAGAAGTCAGAATCTAGTCAGGTACTTTGTTTTCTAGGGAAGAAATCTACAATCTTTCTCATATTGTAAGACTCCTGATCCTTTTCCATTAAAGTAGCCATTACACAAAGGCAAAGCCAGAGGAGCAGGGTGATACGCTGTACGAAGAGAGCACACAACTAGGAGTTGGGCACTAGTTGTTCCCTTGTCCCACCCCTCCATTTCTTTCTAGAATTGTTTTGTTTTATTAATGAAACTGACGATGGGTTTCAAAGAACTAGCACTTTTATATTTTTGTACGTCATCATTCTTCCAGCCCATTCTCCATATCCAGTCTCATCAGATAAAAATATCTCATTTCTCTCATGAGACCCAAGTGAGAGAAAGTTGATGTAACAATTGAGGGGATCAATGGACTGATCCAGAGTAGTTTCTATCTAAAGTATGGACTTGTATGCCAAGTGATGACATGGAAGGAAATGCAAGCTTTATGTTTGTAAGACATGACAAACCTTGGCATGGTGGCATGCACCTGTGGTCCCAGTAACTTGAGAGGCTGAGCTGGGAGGATCGCTTGAGCCCAGGAGTCTTAGACCAGCCTGGCAATGTTGTGGGATCCTTTTCAAAAGTACCTGATCAAGATTGTTGCCCTACTAATAGAAATAGACCAAAAATTCAGGACTCTGTTGTAGATAAGATTTTAAACAAATTGGGTCCTTACTTTAAGATATCATGATTTAAAATTTTTTAATCTCCTTCATACAGTTAGGAAAAATTTTTAAAGGAATGACCCTCTGTCTGAAATAATTGAAAAAGTACTTAAATGGAGAGAAATGTTAGCATTTCAGCTTGGGGGAGGAAATCTGGCTGCTTTTCTATGAGAAAATGCCTGATTTATAGACGTGCATAATTCATAAATAACTTCTTTATATAAATCATTTTGTCATTGTTCTACTTTGTAACTTAACTGTTGCTTGGTCCAAGAACTTATTTCTACAAACTCAATGGTTCATACATTTTTTAAATGTTTATTTCAAGGTATATTTAAATATCGGGGTTTAATGTTTATAGAAAGTCTCATGAGACGTTCTCCCTTAATTTTTCTCTTGGTTGCACCTTTATTTCAGCTTTCACCAACAATCATCAGTGGTTTACACAACATTGCAAGAAGCATTGAAGCGCGAAACTACTCAGAAGGTTTGACCATCCATACCCACATAGTTAGCACCAGCAACTTCAGTGAGACCTCTGCTTTCATGCCCGTTCTCAAAGTTGTTCTCACTCAGGCCAATAAGCTGGGTGTCTAAAAGGACAGCTGTACTCCCAGCTGATGTTGCCGCTTTTCCAAAGAAGTATGATGATTAAAGAGAGAATTGTAATACATGGACCAATCCTTGTCAGCATGTTTCCATAGCAGCCAGTGAGAGCTTTTACATTCTTTCTGCAGATAACCACCTTAGAACTGCTCCAAACACTATTTGTTTTGTTTTAATTTTTTCTTGCCCATTATGATTTTCCTGTTCTGCAAATAGCATATTTCTGGATTACACATAGAATGGTTCATGATAGTCTGACAAATGTGGTTTTTGAAACCTCAGTGTATTTTTAATTGCATCTGGTTATGCATAAAGCAGAGCTAAAACTAAATTTCTTTTATGTTCTCCCTACTTTATCCATGTCAATCAGATTAAATGTGTAATCTTATCTTATGTGTAGACAGTCTTTCTCCCCCCGCCCCAGTGGTGACTGAGCTGGGACTGTAGCTCAGTGGTAGAGTGCTTGCCTGGTGTGCATAGGCCCTGTGTTCAATCCCCACCACCACAGGGCAGAAAATGACTGCTCATAGTTTAATCTTTGTTTCTTGTGTCTGATACTTTACCTTGGAACTGAACAAATAACTACATCTAGAAGTTGCTGCATAGGTTTCAGCTGCTAGCTTTAAATATCTGTAGGAAAAGACTCAGTATTTTCATCTATAGGATATACTGAGCTTTTCTCTTGTTAATAAGTGTTTGTAATATCTATTTGAGCTCAAGATTGAATTTCCTCCATTTTATGGTCAAAACTGCTCACACATTTTCTATAAATTACCTGTAGTTAATCTCAGCTACTTGGGAGACTGTAGCAGGATGATTGGAAATTCAAGGGTAGATTAGGCAATTTAGAGAGACCCTGTCTCAAAAAATAAAAAGATCTGGGAGTGTAGCTCAGTGGTAGTGTTTGCTTAGCCCAAATTCATTCCCTAGTACCACACACAAACACAATTAGTAAAATTACCTGTGGTTGTGAGGTTTAAGTTCAGAAAGAAAACTATTTCAGTTTGCCTCTTGAACCAAAGTTGCACATTTTCAGCCAGTTTTTCTGTGATTTTATTACAGTTTGTCATTAGAGCAGTGTTGTAAGGAGAAAATAATAGTCCTTGTAGAATCTAGAGGAGAATAAGGTACTAATCAATTCTCATAGCTGATACAGTATTAGCTAAGAGGGTTGGAAAACTGAAAATGCAAGTGTGCCACTGTGTAAGTAGATGCGCTATTTCAAGGAGTAAGAGGAGTTCATGAGGCTTTCTTGGAGCCTGAGCGAAACAGTTTATGAGATCCTCTCAATTCTCTTTGCTGGAATCCCCTGCTTGATGAATAGACTCCCCTTAAAAAAAAAAAAAAGTTTGATTTTATAACTCACAATAGTTTTGTAACAAAAAAGAGAAAAAAGTATCTGGCTAGCATCCCTCTGTGTTGGGAGTCTCAGAAATGGGATGTCCAGACTTAGCGTCTCCTGTGCATTTGGTAGTGAATGTTGGTCCCACTAACTGAGGTCACAGCTGGACCTTCTGGGCCTGCTTCCTAAACTGCAGTATGCATTCAGGGCTCCACTGGGACAGCCAACTGGCTTCCAGTGGCTGTTTTTCCTCACTTCCCTTATAATTCGAATTGATTCTGTGGCATCATTTTCTAGAAATGCAAGTTCCCAAAAGGTAAGGAACAAGATGAGGTAGCAGTAGTGGAGCTCTGGCCAGCTCCAGAGATTTCAAGAGTGTAAATGCAAAAAACTGCCACTGACATCTGAGTGGCTTCTGTGTCTCTTTTCAGCACAGCATTGTGATTGTACTGTGGCCACTGTGGAGCCGCTCCTTTCTGGGGCTAATAATCTTGTGGGGCTTAAAATGAATGGAAGTATGAGCTGAACCCAGCATTGCTTCTGTCTCCAAAGTGTGAAGTTGAGATTATGGAAAGAGTAGTTTGTTTTTCTGAGGATATTTTTGAGTTTTCATTTTGAAAAAAATAAATTTCAACTTGGTTTTGCCAATGATTCCATTTTTAATGTTTTCAACTCAAGGTGAAATTATAACATATACCTCCACAGTTCAGGAACCTCTGCATCTGTCTTTACATAAAAATCTCAGGAGTTAATACAAGTGGTAGTTATTTGGTTTTGAAAAGTTATAGCTCTGTTTTCTACCTGTGACATCACTTGATGTATAATGACCATTCTTTCCCAGATCTTTTCAGTTTTCTTTATATGTTTTGTGCTTTATTTATATTTTTTAACCTAATCAGTTCTAAAACGAAGGATGGGATATGAAGGAACCTGGCGGGGCCAGGTATTGGCCCAGATTTCCAGGGTGCATTCTATATTACACCTTGTCTTCTGTTTTATACCACACTGGGTTGGGTAGGATGGGTGTATGTTAGTCCCTGCTTGGGAATCGTTACACAGGGTGAGATACAGAGCTGATGGGGGCCATTGTTCATTTCAGTGGTACAGGGGATGCAGCAGAATCATTGGCAACTAATGGTAACTTGGTTATCTGACAGCTGCCTGAAAGATAAAGGAATGACAGTGACTGGTGTAACCTTTCTGATGATCGCTTGTCTCCTCACCAGATTTGGCAAGGCCATATATTGATTCCTCTGCCTTGGTGGAGACTTTATTTAGAACTGTCATGAGGTTTTAGCAAATAGTATGTTCACATGTATACGTATGTGTACACATGTGCCACCCTCTGTTCTGTCTCACTGCTGTGGTGGCAGCACCCCCAGACAGAGCTTCCAAGCAATCTTCAAGGGTGTCCCTCCCAACCTGAAAATGCTAGCATCTTTAGATTAGTCAGTAAATGAGAAGTGGGCTCTCTATGCACAGTTCTTTGATTTTATGGATAAATGCCCCAAGTCTTTCACCATGTGTGCATTACAGAGCAAAAGCAATTTTAGCTTTATTTTTTTCCACTTTTTCCAGTATACTTGTTTTATCTATACTTATCTAGCATCTGTCCTGCTCGTTTTGGTAACCATGCCTGTCTCTGCTGCTCATGTGACATAGTGTGCATGGATTCCTCCTCATGGTCCAAGTGTACCATGCTTTTCTTGCCAGCTGTTTGTCTTGTTCCTCCTTAGGAGGTGTAGGATGTATGGCTTTTAGGATGGTTGAAGTGGACCTTGACAAAGTTAATAAAGTCAAACAAGTGAAAATGTGTTGGGTTAACTAGTGCGTGTGTTTTGCATTCTGAATTTCACATTCATTTCCAGAGATCTGTTAGAATGTTTATTTAGCAAACAACACTAATGCAGTTACATCTGAAATACCTAGAATGACTGTACAAACATTATTACTCAGAAATTTCTAAAACATTTTAGTGGAGCTGCAGTCCCTGTTGAATTTTGAGTTTGGATTAGGCTGACATTCCTTCCGTACACCAATAAGCCTGTTGTTGTAGGCCTGTCTCTCTTTTTATTGCTGGTGCCTTATAGTTTCCCAGTTTCTTGACTTTTCTAAAACTATCTTTTGTGTATCAGTAAGGAAGGGGCTTCAGTACTCCTGTGAAATAGAGAAATTTCCTATTTTAAAAAGATACACAGACTATGATTTTTAGTTCTTACATGCAGAGTTAAACCTAATGAGACATGACAAAAAAACCCACATCTCTGCCATTATCTCTGAAAGGCTATTTATTTCCTGGCTCGGAAAGTGGCATCCTAGTGTTGTTTTCCACTCAGTTTCTGTATTTCAGGAAACATTTACGAAGTGCTTGATGGAGTTCACTACACATTTCATGTCCAGATAGATATGTTTCCAGGAAGTCATGAAAATCAGTAGGGACCCTATCTGAAGAACACAACAGGTTCAAATTGGACTAGAAAAAGAAAGTTCTAGATCAATGATGACAAACATTTTAGCGCTTTCAGTGATACAAGCACCCTACTGCACCCTACCTGCCATAGGTTTGCCACCACTGTTCTCGACCTTCAGAAAGGTAAGAGGTGAATGAATATATAATTTAAGGGAGCCTGAATCACAGTCTTAGGGATGACCAGTGTGAATGATCTGGTAAATGATAAAGTCATTTCATCTTGTATTTTTCCAGTAAAGGAACTACCTGCCCTAGGAGAACTGATATGAGAGTACAGTGGAGTTTAAAAACAGATTTCAATAATAGGGAAAACAACCGTTTCCTAAAGTGCTCTGAAAATAGTTTCATTCCCACTCAATATCTCTCCAAGTCACAGAAGTCCTTCTCTGGCTACTTGTTTTCCTGAAGGATTTTTGAGAGAGAACAAGTCGGTTTTTTCGATTGTGACACTGAGGGCTTAACATAGGGAGCACTGAGCTCCATTCCCAGCCCTTTTTATTTTATTTAGAGACAGGATGTCACCAAGTTGCCCAAATGGGCATCAGACTCATGATCCTCCTGCCTCTGCCACCCCAGTGCTGGGATTACAGGTGTGTGCCACCACCAGTTTTAACAGGGCTATGCCTGTCACGAGTGAAGGTTCCCTCCTGGTAGGTTCAACTTGGGCACCCTGATGGGGGAGGGGTCTCGTGTGTACTTGACCCGGGCCTTTGGGTGTTAGGTCCTCACAACGGCCTAGGGACGTTTAGTTACTGACTCAGCTTGTGAGCACTGCTGGTAAGCGGTGGCATCTGGATTCAAACCCAGGTCTGGGCCAAGCATGCCCACCAAAACTATTTCTCCCAGAGTAAGAATAGCTGCTTTTGTAACACAAATGACAATTTCAGTTTCTAACTTTAGACCTGGTACTTCCCACTAGTGGAAAGTGATCATAATGGGTTACACTGGACATTATGTGTTGGTGTCTTTTCAGGGTAGTTCTCTTTGGATGGTGGAAAAGGTATCCCTACAAAGCCTGCTTCTCCTTGTGATAGGCGAAGGGGAAAGAGCCCCCTATCCATGAACTGCTTACAGAGGTGCCTGGTATTGGCTTTGTTTGGGTCTCATACCCACTCATGACCTGACCAGTCCATCCTCAGGGAGATCAGGTCCAGAATGGGGTGGCCCAGAGTTGGCTGACCCTAGTGTAGGCACTGATTTTAAACCCCACCAGGACTACATGGAGAGAGGAAAAAAGGCCTAAACAACCAGATAGCTCCTGCAGCTCACAGTAGTTACAGAACCAGCATTTTAGACTAGAGGGGGACCCATGGATGTTAATCTAGGGAGTCATCTTTACCCCAGCTGCTCCTCACCTGGGAGTTAAGGAACCACTGTTGGTCAAATCATGTCACCTCAGTCTCCCTCCATTTCTCCAAGCTGGAGGAGGACTGGATCTCCCTAGCCAAGGCATAAAAAGAGCACACTTGGTGATCCCAGTACTGGGAGGCTGAGGCAGGAAGTTAAGAGGCCAGCAAGGACTATACAGCCAGATGCCATCTTAAATCTAAGCATGAATAACCAAAAGGGCTGGATGTAGTGGACCTATTTTCCAACTCCGCTTCTAGCTCTGGAAGTCTTTTCCCATGTTGTCTTTATAATTTACAAGTCTTGGGCCAGGGATTTAGTCAGTGGTTCCTCGGCCTGCCTTGAAAGCACAAGGTCTGGAGTTTGATCCCTGGTACCAAAAAAAAAAAAGCAAAAACAAGTCTTCGCAAGGAAATGAAAGTAAATTGTGATAAGCACCAAAGCTTTGAAGAAAGGTGACAGACACAACCCTGTTTTTATTTGAAAACCTTTTTTCCTCTTGTGGGGTTCATTTGATTTCCAATCTGGAAGAAATACCACACTTAACCTTAATTGGAAATGAATGGGCAGACATTGAAGAAATGGTTTGTAATTTGAGAACTTGAAACAAATATATTTGTTTAGCCTTGAGCTCAAGTTGTGAGTTCTTTTGTTTTTTGAGACAGGGTCTTACTGTGTAGCCCAGGCTGGCCTTGAACTCACAGCAGTTCTCCTGCAGCATCCTGAGTGCTGGGATTTCAGGTGTGCACCACCAGGGCTGCTTCTGTAACAAAATCTGAATTTTGGTTTCAGAAATGCCGGACATATGAGTTCTAGTTTGTGATATGTATTTCCACTCAGTTAAGCTTTCTGCACACCTGTTCCCACATCAGGTATGGTCCATGTCTGAGTAATGGCATAGAACACTCAGCCATGAACTCGGTTTTCCTTGGCACTGTAAATCTGGGTCACCTTTTTGACTTTCCCGAACTCTGTTTACAAATTCCCTCCCTGCTGGCCAACAACAGGGGCCTTTGCTTTTTAAGAGCAGCCTGTGGTAATTGAAACAGCAGGAAGAGAAAGGTCACGGAAACAGAAACAATAGCAATAGCAGCAGCTAATGCCAAAAAGAAACAAGAACTCTGCCGTCAGAAACTCAGAACTATCCAAAAAAAATTTAGGTGCATGTTAGTGAGGGAAGAGGAACTGGAGGGCTGGAAAAGTTTAGGGGGGAAACTTTCTCAGTCCTGTCTTGTCACAATAATAGGCATTGTTAATTTACTTCAGAGATCTGGGATTTGGGAGCAGGCAGATACATGGAGTAGGGAAGATACACGGAGTAAGCAGATACACGGAGTGTTTGGTTCTGTTTATGAACTTTGTGTTTAGCCAGACACACCTCAGTGTGCTTTGGCTGGTTCTTAAAGGGATGATTAGCATTTGTGGGACACATTTCTGTTAGGGATTATTTAATGACTGCCTCTGTTTATGGACTGAGTTTAGTACTCCGTTTCTAGAATGGCTCGATATATATTGAAAAGATGCTGATTGATTTTAATTCAGGATTAGCCAGAGATGACATAGGTCTGTAGTCTCAAGAGGCTACACAGGCTACTCAGGAGGCTGAGGCAGGAGGACCCCTTGTGCCAAAGACACTCAAAGCCAGCCTGGGCAACAAAATTAGACCCTGTCTCAGTTAAAAACAAAAAACTCAAGCTTTGGGAAGAGGTAAGGACAACATATTGCTGACAGAAGAGACAGGTTTGGGTTGTGTCAGTTTCTATATGTTTATCATAAGTAGACCCTCTGGTGACTCCATAAATAAGCATCCTCAATTATCACCAGAGCTGTTTTCTGCCACCAAATTGCAGGCCTCAAGTGAGTCGTCAGGAAATGTGAGAAGGGCCTGAAACAGTGAAGGTGAGGTCTTTGTTAAGAGAAAAAAACCTACTTCCCGCAACCAAAGCAACAGAAGCATCCACTTTAGAGAACCAGGTCCTCCCTGTCTACTGCCATCTGACTCCTAGTGGGAAACTGCCCAGTCCATTCCCCAGAGATGGGGAGGCCAGCCCTCCTGCGACTTCCTCAAGACCATCTCCCTGATTGGACCCCAACTTTCCCTGTGCTCCCTGGAGTCTTTCTCACCATGGGACACAGATGGCTCATGGGTTGACCTCCCTCTTCAAATCCACAGGCGCTGTGGAGTGGCTCCTTCGTGCCAAAGGCGCTGCCTTTCGAGATCACCAATACAGAGAGTCAGGTGGTCTGTCTCACAAATCCCTCCACTGCTGGAATCCCCCCTAATCACTTGGGTGATGCTGCTCTTCACAGCCTGGGACCCCAGCAGCACCAGGCAAGCTTCACAGCTGCACACAGCCCATCTCTCTAGGAGGAAGCAATAAGACCGCACTGTTTAATACTTAAATACTATAAAAGACTCCCCTCCAAAGTACATGCCGTGATCTCCATTTTGCATATAAAAATGTTGAGATTTGTAGCTAATTTGCGCAGACAGGATTCCCATCACAGATCCATCTTAATTCCTGTATCAGAGGATGAAATCGAAGATCTGAGAAGCTGTCACTGTCCCCAAGTCACAGAGTTCTCTAAGTCAGAGCGTGCAAGTGCGACGCAGGCCCAGATCTTAGGATGCCATGCCTGAGTCATTTTCACAAGACTATCGCTGCTCCAGACAAAAATTGCGTTTCCTTAAGAAATGTATAGCTGTGAGAATCATCAAAAATCTCTCACTTCAAGAATGGATCTTTTCTTGCTCTTTACTCCCTTAAAGTTTACATTTTCTCCACAAATACTTTTTGTTGTGATTTTTTTGAAATCTTGGTATTCCTGGAAGGGATTCACTGAATCTAAGTGCCAGGTACTGGCCAGGCTCACTCCCATTGCTGAGCCTTTTTTACTTATCTAACTGGGGCTCTAAGTCACCCCATCTTTCAGAGCCTTTTTTACTCCCCACTCCTCAGTGAAGCCATCCTAGCCATGCCAGGCCATGTGTCA